GCTAAAGATGAGAATTTGATAAACAGCTGATTCGGTGTCCAAGATATCCTTCGTCAAGATGGACGATTCAAGCAAAGTGGAACAGCGTAGGAAGTGATGACAACGTAACCTTATTGCATGAAATTTCGCTTCGGTGCATACAAAAGTATGCTCACTTTTTGAACGTATCCGGTAGAGAACTGATGACAGTCTAAGATTGTATCTAGATCCATGTATGATATGGCGGGTTGGAAGCGGAGCATTGGTGAACAGTATTGTAGGGGCATCCAGCGCTAGTCCTAGCTTGGGATAGGGTGCCAGAATCCAGATGTGACCATCACATGACACCACCCGCCCCATTGGCGGTCAGTCCTGCCCTAACCCACCACCCGCTAAGCGAGGCGCACCTCGAATTTCCTTGCGCTCAGCGACACATTTCAGCCGCCCGACTGTATTCGTCGACGTTGAAGGATCACCAACGACACCGTCCGCCACCTACACGTATCCCTCCCTCGGCAACAGGTGCATACGTCGACCAAAATGTCTGAACACGGCGAAGTCGAGGTCGAAAACCCCGCTGCGGCCTTCCAGGTCCTGCCCAAGGAGGCTATCGCGGAGATGGGATCCGTGAAGCTGTTCAACAAGTGGAGCTACGAGGATGTTGAGATCAGGGACATCTCCTTGACGTAGGTGCTCCCCAATTCATCGCGATTTTGATTGTTCTACGAGCATGGGTTTTGTGTCGACCGGTGGAAAACGCCAGCATCTGTTGGGAGACAATGGACTCGACATGCACGGAGGAAAACGCACGACAAAATGGGATATCTGCGAAGGGAATCACGATGGAAAAAAAAATTTGCGAATTGGCACAGAAACGAGATTTGCTGACTCGGCTTCACCTTCAATAGCGACTACGTCCAGATCCGCTCCCCTGTCTACCTTCCTCACTCCGCTGGCCGCTATGCTGCCAAGCGTTTCCGCAAGGCTCAGTGCCCCATCATCGAGCGCCTGACCAACTCCCTCATGATGAACGGCCGCAACAACGGAAAGAAGCTCATGGCTGTCCGCATCGTTGCCCACGCCTTCGAGATCGTACGTCACCTCTCATATTTCCCAATGCCTTCTGCACGCAGAAACGGCTAGGGCTCGCAAACCACAACCAGACACAGAAAACTAACCGGGTAATCCTTTGTAGATCCACATCATGACCGACCAGAACCCTCTCCAGGTCGCCGTTGACGCTATCGTCAACTGCGGTCCTCGCGAAGACAGCACCCGTATCGGTTCCGCTGGTACCGTCCGTCGTCAGGCCGTCGATGTGTCTCCCCTCCGCCGTGTCAACCAGGCTATTGCCCTCCTGACCATCGGTGCTCGCGAGGCCTCTTTCCGTAACATCAAGAGCATTGCTGAGTGCCTGGCTGAAGAGCTCATCAACGCCGCCAAGGGTTCCTCCAACTCCTACGCCATCAAGAAGAAGGACGAGCTCGAGCGTGTTGCCAAGTCCAACCGGTAAAGTGGGAATTTTGGGCGTATTCTCCGTTTGGTCCTGGTTTTGCGTGTACTGGAGTGGACGGGGGGTTTATTAGGATTCAGTCGATTTGCATGCATCTGCGCGACTGTACATACCTGAAAACAGTCACGGGAGGGAGCGAGATCCTAAAAATGAGAGAATCGGACGGCTTTCTTCTACAGTAGTTGAGATGCGATCATGAAGACCTCTGGCTTGTGAAGTCAATACCTTTATCTATTTTTTACACGAAAAAGATTTCCCTGTTTCAACCATCGTTCCACTGCCACCTCCGATGTGGCGACGAACTACGCAAACGTAGACTCAAAACACTGAACATGTCAAGGAGCACAAAGAAAGTGTTCTAGGTTCCCAGTAGATTACAACCCGTAAACGCTTAGTATTGCAGAGACCATGATAATCAGAGTCCTTGTGCAGAAGTGCCCGTGCTGGCAAGTCCCAAGGGCTGGCTGCGGCTTATCGATAGGCCAGACCCGTCGCTGCGAAAAAAAAATGTTCGGGGCTCTGTTATCGGCCCTGGCAACCGTCGCCCGCCTTTCTTTTCCCTCAACCACCCACTTCATCCCCTCAGTTTCACCACTATAATACGCAAAGATGGTGAAAAGAAAGTTAGGAGCCTTGGAAAAGGTCGAGGCTGATCTGTAAGTGATCTTATACCGTCGCTGTGTGGCTACGGAACCCCCTCCCCAAGACGAAGAATTTCGCCTGTCGCTAACTCACTGCTTCTCATAGGCCCAACCTGCAGCACAAGATTCGGAGAGATCCCAAGTATGTTTTACTATGAACAATGCGATTAGATGCCAATGATATCAGAATGGCTTGCTAACTGTCGCTTACTGGTGAAGATCCTACATTGAAGACTTCCGCGCTCAGCACTACCAATATGAGAGTCACCGAGAAATTTTCATGACCGCGCCTTCGTCGACCACAGAGACGGGTTTGATATCTCTTCGAGAATTGATCGACTTCATTGCTCATGTGGCCGACTGCTACCCCGAGATTACGAAGGACTTCCCTCAGCAGCTCATGGATATCTTGAGCCAGCACCATCTGATCCTTCAGCCAGAGTTGCGCGAAAAGATCGTCGGTAGCTTGGTGCTTCTGAGGAAGAAGGAATTGTTGGACTCGGCGACGTATGTTTATCCATGGACTGCCAGATGCGCATGTGGCTGGTTGCTAATTGGCATCATATCTCCAGATTGCTTCAGACTCTGTTCCCTATCCTTATTTCCACCCCCAGCAAAACCCTACGAGCTCTGATCTTCCAAAAGATCCTCATGGACCTTCGTCAGGCCAATGCGAAGACCACGAACCACAAGCTTAACCGCACCATGCAGACCGTCCTGTTCAACTTGGTGACGTCGGACCGGACTTCTTCTAAGGGCCTGTGGGCTATCAAGCTTACGCGCGAACTGTGGAAGCGCCAGATCTGGACCGATGCCAAGGCTGTTGAGGTCATGAAGGAAGCCAGTCTGGCATCGAACGAAAAAGTCATCGTTGGCGGTGTTCGCTTCTTCTTGGGTGGTGACAAAGAGCGCGAAGAAATGGAAGATGAGAGCAGTGACGAAGAAGCCATTGACTTGGGGCGAGTAAAGCATCAAGTCGGCATCAACAAGAAGACCAGAAAGAAGTCCCGTGCGGTTGAGAAGGCCAAGGCAACCGTAAAGAAGAGGGAGCGCAAGAAGAACCAGCCGCATCCTCTGAACTTCTCCGCTTTGCATCTTCTCCACGATCCCCAGGGCTACGCCGAGTCCTTGTTCTCGAAGCATTTGCAGAGCACCAAGTCCAAGCTCAACTTGGACCAAAAGCTTATGGTGCTTCAGCTGGTGACCCGCCTTGTCGGCTTGCATAAACTGCATATCATGCACCTCTACTCCTACTTCCAGAAATTCCTGACTCCCCGTCAGCCATCCGTCACGTCGTTCTTGGCTTCGCTGGCGCAAGCATCCCACGACTTGGTCCCACCGGATGACCTGGAGCCCTTGGTTCAGAAGATCGCAAATGAGTTCGTCTCGGAAGCCTCAGCGTCTGAGGTCGCATCGGCCGGTCTTAACGCTATCCGAGAGATTTGCGCACGACAGCCACTCGCCATGAATGAGACCTTGTTGCAGGATCTTGTCATGTACCGTAAGAGTAAGGATAAGGGTGTCATGATGGCGGGTCGAGGTCTGCTCAGTCTGTTCCGGGAGGTTAACCCTGAGATGCTCAAGAGACGGGACCGCGGCAAGGACGCTTCCATTGGCCTTAAGGCTGGAGAGAGGAAAGAGAAGCGCTTCGCGGAACAAGAGGCCGGTGGCATCGAGGGTCTGGAGCTCCTGGAAAAATGGAAGGAGGAGGAGCGCCGGAAGAGGAGAGCTGAGAAGGGCTTGGCTTCCGATGCTTCTGATGATGAGGAGGAAGGCGAGGAGGACAACTGGGCATCCTGGAATGTGGAAGATGATGAGGACAGCGACGACTCGGGCGACTGGATCAATGTGCAGAGCGACGCTGAAATCGACATCAGCGATTCCGAGGACGAGAAAGACGGACCTCCCGCCAAGAAGGCCAAGTCCAGTGAAAGCAGCAGTGATGATAAGGCGGAGAAGGAGGAAGAATCGAAGGAAGAGTCTGCTGAGGCCAAGTTCTCCAAGCTTGCAACGACTCGCATTCTCACCCCGGCTGACCTGGCCAAGCTCCAGGAGCTGCGCAATGAAGCCGCCATCAACTCACTCGTGCCAGGCGCCAAGAAGCGTGATCGTGACGATCCTCTGACGGCTGAAGAGATCGAGGGCCTGGCTGCTCTCTCTGCCGGCAAGGCCACGCGCGAGGAGCGGATTGCTCATGCCAAGGAAGGCAAGACTGATCGGTCTGAGCACAAGAGTATAACGGCCAAGCGCAAGGAGCGCAAGCAGGATCAGGGCAAGAGTACGACCAACAAGGAGAAGGCGCGCAAGAAGAACTTCTTGATGACCCTGGGTAAGGCCAAGAGCAAGAACAAGCGGAGTTTGGTGCAAACCCGCGCCGTCCTCAAGGCTCATCATGATCGGGCCAAGCGGGGAGGTCGCAGAGGAAACATTGGTTAAGGTATATATGGTGATACCCTATCGTAGATCTATTGTTTCGTTCCATGTTCTAGTTACTGTTGTATCATCGAGCCTCTTGGTTCCTCTCCTTTGGATGTCCTAAAAAGCGTGCCTTTTTGTATATAGAGCTCTTCTGCAATGACCGAACTATTAGACATGTTCTAGTAACTATGTGCACTCCCCACAAAACTATTAGGATATAATCCGTAGTTCAAAGACTACCTCAAATATTCTAATTATGTGCACTTCCATCAAATCCATGGAATATGGAGTATTTCCATGTCGGTCCCAAAGAGGATAAATTGACAAGTGACACGTGCCGGGCGCGTCGTGGCGCGTCGCGTTCCGTGGCTCGGGTTCTTTCCCTCCCCAGCCTCTTTCTTTTCTCTTCTTCCTCTTCTGCTATTAGAGATTCTATTCTCCCCCTCTCCCCTCCACAGCCCTTGCATTTTCTCTTACTACATCACACATTCCAAACTATATCCCCTGTCAAATCAGAAGCCGTCCTTTTAGACCTAAGTGGTCCCCCACGAGCATACAAACAGACTAGACCACTACAACTTCTCCACTCCCCGCATAGACAAAAGTCCCGTCTGTCTCTATCCAATACAGTCCAACATGTCCCCCTCCCTCCAGTTCCCCACCACCACCACCACCACCACCACCACCACCACCACCAAGGCCTCCGACCTGGCCTCCAAACGCAGACGCTTTCAGCCACCAATCACTAGCTTCTTCTCAACTACATCTACACCTCCCTCAGAAGACAATGACAACGTGACCACCGACCGCACCCACCATCTCTCTCACAACCACTACTCCGCCGCAACCTGCTCCCCCACCCCCATCGTCCCCACCAAAGTCCAAGCCTCCCTCCTCTCCGTCGGCATGCGCGTTCGTAAATCCGTCGCAGAGGGATACAAGACTCGTCTGGCGAAGTCCGACCCCAGTTTCTCCGAGCTGGCTCCCTACAGCGGCATGCGCAGTCATTCCGCACCCATGAACCTTATCACCGATGACGAAGGCGACGCTTTCTCCCTCCCCTCCAGCAGCCAGGAGTCCAACGCCGGTGGTCAGAAACGCTCTTATGATACGGACTTTGACCTCGACGAGAGTGAGGATGATGACGTTGCTGCTTCGGGTTTGGATCTATCTACACACAATGCTACTCTCATGGGCCGAACCATCCTTGCGCCCAAGTTGAATCAGCAGCGAAGACGCTTCGTGACGCTGCGGAAACATGCCACTATTTCTGAGGGCATGGGTATGGATATTGATGACTTTGAGGAGGCTTCCTTCTTGCGCAGTCGCGAGGAGGTGGATATGGAGTATGGCTCTGTGAGTCGAAGCTCGGAGATTGAGATGGGTGGGATGTAAACATGTTGTTACTATTGCCGGGGCTTTCCCATTATTTCTCTCGTCGTTTCTGGATTATCTTATTAGCCGGAGTTAACGTGGGTTGGGCTGGGTTTGGGTGGTTGTACTATTATCTGTTGTGCTTTTCGTTTGCGTGCAATGTTCCTTGGGGACACAGAGTACCATAGGCTGGTTCTATGTGCTGGAAGACAAGCCGGATGCTTGAATTGATGCATCATGCATACTGTTCGTTATTTCGCCCGTTGTGTTTCTTTCCCTATCTCTGTTTGTTTTTTCTATGCATATTCTTACTTGACCCCTGCTTGCTCTACATTCCTGTTGTTTGTTATCAAGCACCCTGTACATATAACCCGATTGCGATGACTCTACCTGTTCAACCTTCCTAGTTAGGCTAATACAATAGCCAGCACCCATGCAGCAGACCTGAATCTGAATTGCATGAATAATAAATCGAAGAAACTTCCAAAAAAATTTAAATGAACAGTCAAGTCAATTCTATCTATAGTAGTATAGTTCACATAACACCGACCAATAATCCCCCGACAGGGACTTCTTCAATCAGCGTGTAAATGAATTCATCACATCACAACAAGAAAAAAACAACGAAAGTGGCAGTAGTAACGCTCAATCCGAACTCCTAGTATTTTTACTTTATTTCTCTGGGAACCGATTACCTCAATTCCCATGTATCAGAAGACCAAGCTGCCGCTCGATTTACAGCTCATCCTTGCGGTTAGCCTTCTTATCTTCCTTCTGCTCTTCTTCCTTAGCAGACTTCTTCTGCTCCTCTTGCGCCTTAGCCTTCTCCTTCTTCGACGATTTGCCGTTGTTGTTGTTCTTCTTGCTCTGCTCCTTTCCGGACTTGGCTGCCGCCGCGCCCATCTTATCGTAGATGCGGTTCAGGACGCGCTCGAGCTCCTTGAGACGGGTGTCGAGTTCGGCGACGGGGAGGGCCGGGTCATCGGTCACGGTGAGCTGCTCCTGGAGAGCGAGCTGGGTTTCGAACCAGGTGTTGGTGGATTCGTAGGTCTTAGAGAGGCTGGTTAGGTCGTAGGGTTGGAAGATGGAGTATTTGGGACCGCTGGGCTTGGGGGTTGTGGTGGCCGAGGCGGTCTTAGTGGTGGATGAGGTGGAGGTGGTGGCGTAGGGGTCTTCGTCGAGGTCGACGGAAGAAGAGGATTCAGTGGTGGTGGATGAGGAGGTCGAGGACTCGGTTGTGGAAGAGGAAGAGCTGGATGCTGCGACGCTGGAGGAGTAGAGGTCCTCGTCTTGCTGAATCTGTTGCTCCATCACGTCCATGACGGACTTGGCGTTCTTCAGGACTTGCTGCACGAGCTCAACGCGGGCCGGGCGCTCCGCGTTCTCCTTCTTTCTCTTGAGGGCTGGGTCGACGATCTCTTTCAGGGACTTGAGCTTCGCGCGGAAGTCGGCGGTCTTCGCGTCGTCGCCGTCGCCGTACAGCCAGTCGCTGGCTTCGGAGGCTCTCTCTTGCAGCGTGGTCAGCTGCTCAGGCTTCACTACCTTGGCGAATTCCTCGTCGTCGACTAGGTCGCGGCTACGATAGATGAAGGATTCCAGTTCGTTGAGGGCTTCTTCACGCAGGGCACGGTCACGGTCCGAGGCGTCGAAGGCAGCCAGGCGGCTCTTGATGCGAGCGAGTTCGGCTTCGGTGGGGGCGGGGATTCCCAGGGGAGATGAGGTGAAGCTGATAGAGATTGACTCCAGCTTGGTTGCGGGTGTGCTCTTCTTGCTCTCCTTGGCAGTTGTGGTGGAGGTAGCGTCATCTGCCGAGGAAGTCGTCGCGGCTTGAGGCTCCTCGGGCTCAAGAGTGATGGACTCGCTGGGCTCGCCTTCCTCTCCGAGAGGAGCTTGTTCATCCTTGTTACCCAAGCCAAAGAATCCCTTGACACCTTCGACCACGCTTCCCTTCTTGGCAGACTCCACCTCGCAGCTGACGGTACCGCTGGCGACTTCAGGAAGTCCGTTGACAGGGCTCAGGCGGATGGCGAACTTGGTGGTGATGTTGGCAGCCGTGCAACCGAAGTCTTCCTTCAATTTAGCAACAGAGGCAGTGAGGTTCTGTGTCTTCACACCCAGGATTGGGGATTCGACGACATTGCCGTCAACGGGGATCTGGTGGTAGAAGCTGAACTCGAAGTCGTCCAAGTTCTTCACGGTAACCTGTTTCTCGGGGCCGACCTGGGAAGTGGGAGTGAAAAGCTTCTGCTGTCTCTCCTTAGACTCGGAAGCCCACTTGAGCACGACAGCGTAGCTCGAGGCATCGCTTGCTCGAATGTCCTTAACGCGGAAGCTAGGGCTCAGAGCGGCTCCCTTGAAGGCAGCGCCGAACACTGCGGCTTCATCCGCATTGACACTGGTGCGAATCTTGTTGGCAGAACCGCAAACCCGCTCGAGCTCCTTCTGCACGAACGGTGTGCGGATGGCGCCACCGTGAAGGATAACGGAGTCAATGTCGCTCAACTGCAGTCCAGCAGCCTCCAAAGCTTGCTCCAGGGGCTTTCCGACACGTGCAATATGCTGCTCCGCGAGCTCCTCGAACTTGGCGCGGGTGACACGGTACTTGAAGTTGAGATCCTCTTCATAAAGACTCTCGAAAGAGGCGCCCGTCTCAGTGTTTGCACTGAGAACTTGACGAGCCTTCTCCGCATCCTTCCAGAGTCTCGCCATGGTCTTTCCGTGGGCCTGGACATCAGCCGGGGAAACCCGGTCCTTGAGCTTCTTTTCCTCGACGAGGCTGGCGATCATATCCTGAACAATCAGATCGTTCAGGGCATCTCCTCCAAGAGTCTTGTCCCAGCCGGTTCCGAGAACCTGGACTTCCTGGACGGTCTTGTTGAATCGTCCCACATCCTTCACCGAGCGACTTTGGAAGCGAAGGACACTGGCAGTTGTAGAGCCGGCGCCCATGTCGTAGACAATGTGGTACTCAGGCTTCTGGCCATCCGAAACACTGGGGAACGTGCGGCTGGTTGCGTAGTTCAACCCGACCGCGAGATTATCGCTGATGAATGCATCGACATTCAAACCTGCCAGCTCCGCGGCCAATTCCAGACTCCTCTTCTCCGCGGCGGTGTAGAACGACGGGTAAGTGATCACGGCGTCCGTAATGTCTGATCCCTTTCCAGCCAGAGTGTCGGCATTGGCCTTGATCTGCTTCAGCTGCATGGCCAGGATTTCCTCAACAAGGAAGGCATCCTTCCTTTCGGTTTCTCCTAGTCTGTTGCTTCGCAGGCCAACCGTGCCACGGTCTCCGGGCGCTTCTTCCAGGCGCAAGGCAGGATAGCGGTTGTGGAAACTTTTGATCAACTCATTGTCCGCATCGAAAGGAAGTCCAAGCAGAGTCTTGAGGTTCGAGTAGACATCATCGGGATACCGTGCCGCTAGCGCCAAGGCATCGCCACCGTAGAATCTCTCGGGGAACAAGGCATCGGCCTCGCGGGTAGGCTTGAACGCTACAGCGGCCGACTCCTTGCGCTTCGAATCTTTGGTGAGAACAATCTCAAGCGGAATTCCGGGTTTGACGAGCGTAGCTTTTAGATACTCTGTACCGACATCGATACCAAGGACTGCGGAACCCGCAGCCGCGGCCGGGGAAGGAAAGCTGAGGACAAAGAGGAGAAACGGTAGAATTAGGGAGAGTACGGGGAGGGAGGTGAGCGAGGCATAGGACCGTCGCTGGCTGCCGGGAGCCATGGTCTGTATAATTCTGATGCTTCAAGAGTCAGTAAATCCTTCTGTCCCTGATAGTCGTCCTCCACACATTGTCGCATACCTTCTGCTTATTACAAAAATTCAATAATTCCCCATCCGATATATGAAGTAACAACTTTTCTTCTCTCGGTTATATTTTGAAAGAGCGATTGGTGAAAACAGCTATTGGTACATCGAATAGGTTTGATTCAGGGTCTGGAGGTGGGCTGAATAGTGAAAGTAGCTGTCGTGAACTATGAGCCGGTTAGCTGGCTGGAGGGAAGCATTGTGGACGGAAACAGACCACGTACGCAAGATCTAGAACGACAGAGTCATCTAGGCCACAATCACAGTTGGAATTACTGGCCACCTGGCAGTAAGCGAAAGTAGGACCAAGAAATGAGATTCGCGATGAATGAAAGGCGCGATGATTGCACAGAGGCCACGTTTGGCCGACCGGTTCGCTGTTTGTTCTGTTTGCCCCCGCCGATCGCCGCCCCGATCGGCGTGCTTAAAAGCATTCCGCTGCTTCAGGGTCCAACTAAATATTTCCATCTGCAAGGTGTGATCAATGATGTTACAAAGTACGATGCAAGTGTGAGCTACATCTTTTTCTTATAAGGCTAGTCATCGTCGAAGTCAGAATCGCTCATCCATCCTGTCTCGTATGTCTCGCGGATCTCGCCCAACCCATTGACTAAAGTTTCCCGCTCATCCACGCCAGCCACTCGTCCAGCCAATGTCTCATAGACTTTCAGTCTCTCTGCCGTTCGCGAAGAGACAGTCAATGCGGCAAGAATACTGATTTTCTCCTTCGATCTGAGTTCCGGGAACATATTCTGAGGGAAGCTGTCCAGTACCGGGAAAGGTAGGGTCGTATGAAACCTATATGTAATGTTAACGATGTGACTGCATGGAACGAGTTCAGCGGGCTTGTCTGACCTCTGGAACATTGGTTCTGAGTTAAAGTGTCGTTTTCTGCGGAGGATACCCTGGTCCTCCCCGCCCGACTCATTCTCACGATCGGCAACTCCCCGTGAAACTTGAAGCTGGTTGAAGACATGGTGGGATTTTTGGCAGGTCAGCCCATCGTAGGTGAAGTCCAGATCAAAGTCTTTCTTGATCGGCGAGCTTCCAGGCTCTTTCTCATCACTATCATCCGATGGTTTGGTAGGCGATTTGGCGGCATCTTCACCATCGTGCACGATCGTAGATTGCAGCTCGAATATCTTATGGATACTGTCATCACCTGCCAGGGACGCCTCAAAGTCGTGATATGGACGCAGTCGCGTGGGAAGTGACACGCTTTCCATGGCGGCGCTAACCAAGGCCGAGGTGTACCATTCTGATCGAGGATCGAGATAGATAGATCGGGGGATTCGACTTGGAGGGTCGATAATGGGCGCATACAGCGATGCCTGTGTGGAGATGGCATGTACAGACCGAGCTTTGTTCAAATCCCTCTTGAACTGAGTTTGCTGCCATATGATGCAGTGTAAGCTTCACATAGACCTAGAACATATCGTAGAAGTACTCACCCGATCGACCTTTTTTCCGTTCTCGATGGCCCAAACCCAGACGGACTTCTTGCCATATTCGTCCCTAATCCTGTCGATGTACTTTGCAGCAAAGCCGCCCCATGCGTTGTCAGAGCCGGTGAATATTTGCAGTGCACGCAGCTGATCGCATTCTTCTGCGAAAGGTCTGACATCTCGGTCGAGCAAGTCATGCTCCTTGTCGAGCTCATTGAACAGTTCTTCGCCAATAGTCCAATCCTCAAAAGGCATGATTTTGGAGTTCAACTCATAGTCGTTGAGCTGCACAATGGAGCGGGGGTGATAGAACAGTCGGTTATAATCCGACCAATACCTTACTGTCTCTGCAGAGAGCGTTGGAGCAGGTAGCCCCGCGTCGAGGCTCTTCTGGTAGTCACTCTGGGGAATTGGCGCTTGCTGTTGTAAAATCTCCTTTCCATCCCTACAATCCTATTGTTAATATTGCATCGGATAAAAGAGAGTACGTAGGAAGGTGAAAACCCACCATAGACCCTGGCCCGGGGTGGCATCTTCAGTCAACTCGTACAAAGCGTTGTACTTGCGGAGCGTGCCAAAGCCACCTTTCAGATCATATATGACAGTCCTAGGGGTGTATGTTTCCGACCCATCGGCGCCGACGCCTGGGCGAAAATGGACATCATGGTCTACTGGAGATTCCTCTTCCTCGTTGTAAGTGAAGTAGGATTCCTGCCAGAAAGGTCAGCTATAAGATGCATATTTGATGAGAAGCGCAGCATGATTATTGACTCACTAACCTGGAGATTCCAAAAATGTGTGGCCAGGTAATTAGCTCGTTGACCGAGCTGTAGGGTGATGATTTCATGCATGGTCGGTGTTGACAATTACTATGTCCCACATTGGCGTTGCACCCAGAAAATATATGCAGCTGTCGCAGATTGATCCTACAGGGTGATGCACATGCAGGGGATTTCAATTCCACAAAGGCTCCTGGAAGAAGTACCGAAATTTGCAGAAGCCAATCTCAGTGCAGTCCAGGACCTTCAAATTATCTGCGAGTCTAGAACACAGCACCCACAATCTCATAAGCGTGGGCAACTGATGGCATCACAAGCAGTGGACGCACAGACCACTGGATGCGCTGGTTGCCTATCTGGGACTAGTGGAAGTTTCTGTGACACGTGAACCCCGCCTTCCCAATACGGCTAATTATAGTTGTCCCGGGCAACGGTCACGGGACTACGGCGCGAGCAACAAACAAGCGTGGAATTGGCGGGATCGGTTGATTGTTGTGGGTGCGTCACCGATTAGGGGATCATCAACCGAGCACTACTCTCCTCTCACCTCCACTCCAGGTGGATTTTCCACGGGGCTTCCTTCGGCACCTACTAGTTTCACAATCCCTCGAGATACGACTGTCATGTTTGAGTCTTGAGTGAACGCATCATTTTATTACACTAACCACCCACAGCAACAGCACATACTGCCGCGATGGATTCTCCATCGAGCGCGACGCCGAGCCCGACAAAGGCCCTCAATCCCCTGTCACCAGACCGGATGAACCAGCAGATCGGACTTGGCTCACCCTCAATGTCATCGGATATTTTCAACATTCAGCGGAAGACTCCCCGGGGACTCACCGATGTACAGGCCAAGGTCGCGTATCTGAACAACTTGTCGCGAGGAAACAGCCCCGCGCAGGGTTCACAGCCTTCAGCAGCATCTACGGCAGCTCTCCAGCGGGCTATCCTTGGGCGCGAAGAGGCTGAGTCGGCGTTGGCCAATGTTTCCGCTCAGCTTTCTGAAGCCCAGTCGCGGGAGCGTCGGATAAGTGAAAGACTGGAGTCCCTGCTGGAAGAACTGCAAACAACAAAAGAACGCCAGGCCCACGAGCGATCAATTTTCGAAAAAGAAATTAGGAAGGCGAGGAAGGAAGCTTTTCGAGCTGGCTCCGTTCTGGTGAAAACACAGGAGGAGCTGAAAAACGCAAGAAACGAAGCAAAAGGGTACAAGGACGAGGCCCAGGCAGAGCGAGCAGCAAAAGAACAAGCAAAACAGGAGGCTTTCGAACGCGCTTATGCTATTGCTGGTCTCACGGAGGAGATGGAGGTCCTTAAAGAACAGCTACGGGCCGCCGAGGCCAACAACCACTCGCAGAAGCTCGAAGCGCAAGCGCAGCAGAAGAACGATATTGGACGAATTTCGCTGACTGAAGGCGATTTCAATCTCTTGTTGACACCTACCCCTCGGAGACCCAAACGTTCTGCTGAGGAAATAGCCAACCCGCCTCAAGCCAATGTCGCTGAATCTTCACCGGTCAAGGATACACCTCCCAAGAGGCAAAGGATGTCAGACGTAACTCCTAGAAAGGAGGCCGCGGAGATCACGACACTCGATGTACATGAGGAACAAATCGCTGAGTTGGAGGAGACCCTCAGGCGCGAGCGTCAACTCAGAGTCGACGCCGAGGGAATGCTCGAATTCTTGCGCCTGGAGTGCCATTTTAAACGTTGCACTTGCCGCTTGGCAGAGCAGAAAAGCGTTCCTCATACCCATGAACCGCAAAGCGTGGATACGACGAAAAAGTATGAGCTGGAACACCCAAAACATCACAAAAATGACCAGAACGCACTTGCTGCACCAGAGGAGCCAAGTCCGTCTCATACTCCTAAAGGCGAGCCTAGATATGTGACAAGTGTCAAGGAACAAATACTGATGGAGGATCCTGCCGGGGAAGAAGCAGCCGAGCGCGAGGTGGCCGGGGATGATGTCGATGAAGATGTGGATGAAATCGTTGAAGAGGTCGAGGAGATCCAGGATGTTGACGATGACGACGACGATAAGCCTCCGGAGGAACCTTTGATAACATTCTCACCTGCCACTGGAACCTTCCACACCTTCCCTTCTCCTGTACGAGGATCTCCCCGAAAGGCCAACGAGGCTACTGCAAACGACCATCAGTCACCAGCAGCCTACGCTGAACACGGAATAGACGCCCGTGTGATGTCTGGTAGCCCTGCCCCGAAGTATGGGTCTCTTCAGCGCCAGGCTCCGTTTGATTCTATAACGGATCGTGAAGCTACTCCGAAAGGCCACCCCTCGCCAGCGGTTGTTGATGTGCCATGGGATCCTGTGATGCCCATTGGACATGAAGCCGGCACCCCTGAGAGGCACAATGACCCCACGAAGGTTCCTCTGCGCGATGATGGGGGATCAAATCGCTTTTCCGACGTGCCTGGGACACCCATCAGCCGAGAAGAAGCACTGGCTCAGATTAGAGCGCGGAGAGAGAGAGCAAACACCATGAAGAGGTCTGTCAGTGCCAGTGAAAGCGGGTTTCGCTCGGGAGGCATGGGAGTTACTCCTGTCCGGAGCGCTCGACGGTACCCTGGCGTCCAGAATCCAGATGCAAGCGACGGTTCCATCAGAAGTCGGAGGGATATGAGCGCTCCTATCCATATGTCCCACTACTGAAACCGCCGTCTCATCACTGGCTGAACATGACAGCCAGGATCAGTGCGCTTGACTCAACGATCCAAAATCATCTCTCATTCCTCATATTCTTGGTTAACGACTCAACTCTCTCTTGATACCCTGGTCCTCCGAGCGAAATGGCGTTTTTCTCTTTTTGGATGTTGATTTTTGTTGGGCATAAACGGTGCTCTCTTGCGTCCTTTTCTACTTATGCCCATTGCAAAAAGCTACGACCATTACTTATTTCCCTCTTGCGTATACCAAGAGGTTAATTTTCTCACTTGAATGCTTTGTTCTTCTGGTCAATTCTATCATTTATCCCAACTCCATGGCGAATGAGCATCGCTTATCAGCCTTGACATTCACTTAGATCATTCTCTACTCTCCTTTGTCTAGTGATTTTTTTTGATTCTCTTTGCTTGGTGAACCCACCCTTTTTTGTATATAGGTTGATTTCTACGATGCCTGATTGGTGGATTTCAAGATGCTGTTTGGATGAAGACTAGAACCTTTATGATATTGACATGACAATTTCAACGTGAACTCGCCTTCTTATTACAAGAGTCATTTGAGTAGTAGTAGTAGCACTATTAGCCTAGCATGAGCATTCCTAGAGATGGACTAGACAGTCTATAAATATTAATATCGGCCCGTATATACTTTCATGCGTACACATAGTGCCAGACAAGACGGTCTCGAAATATAGAAAGAAGAAACGAACAAGAAGTAATATGCACCCTGCTATTGCAGCCCAACCAGCATATACACCGTTTATATGATGGAAATACCGCAACATCTGATCCTCGCACTGTCCACACGTGCCTTCCGACCCCACCACAGGTGAACCAGTTCCTCGACAAACAGACGGTCAGCTGTGCTCCAGATATCCAGGCCCATCTCGGTCAGATCTTCAGAAGTGATCTTTACTGGGTCGCTATCGTCATAGGAGGCTCTGGTGTCGCGCGACCCGGTCCCTGTCTGCTGTTGTAGCAACGGAGATCTGGAATCATCTTCTTGGGTGGATTGTCGGCCAATGGTAAGGGAGGGGTCGGGACCTTCGTCGTCTTCTGGATCATCTTCGTAAGGAATGGTGTCCTCTTCGGGTATCTCTTCGTCGTCATCTTCATCGTCATCGGGGGAATTGCGGCTATCGTGCCGGGCTACTACGTCGGATAGAGTGATGAAGATTTGGGCTGTGAGGCGACGGAAGTACGCGACTAGGGCGATTTCAGGCGGCTGGGTCGATTCCTGCGGTTGAATGCTTCGACGGCCAAGAGATCCGGAGGGTGGGCTGGGAAGGGTTTCTACACTGGCTAGCAGGCGCGTGTCCTGTTCCATTTGGTGCTCTTCTTCCTCTTCTTCGGAGAGACCGTCACGCTTCTCGCCGGCTGATGCCCACCATATGAAGGAGGTGTATGCCAAGCGTGTCCATGAGAGAGGTTCGACAATGGGACTGGAGGAGTACGTCGAGGCTGCGTCCGAGTCGTCGTCGGCTTCAGTGGATGCTGCTTCTTCTTCTTGGGTTACGTGTCGAAGACCCTTGCGAAGGGTAGCGTAACGTCGTGCGTCGCGCTGGGTTGCTCTGACTTCGATGGATTGGGGCGTCTTGCCCTTTGGCGGTTGCGTATGAAAGATGGAAACGGTAGGAAATACCTTCTCTGCGGCGTTCTTGGAGTGAGCGGGAGGTAAGGTGACAAGAACATCGAAGAGCTCAGGCTTCATGGTCAAAACGCTGTCTGTGCTGCATGCAATCCAGGCTGCGTCATGTTCTGCATTGACCGAAGTGCCCACAAAAGACGAGAGGTGAGGAATATCATGAATGCCGACGTTGAACAATGGGCGAGGTCGCGGAGAGGGTAAACCGTTTTGCGGCAGTAAAGGAAGGAGCGAATTAGGTAAGGAGGCCAATAAAGAAAGATCGTACACTATTTGACTGTAAGCATGGATGGAATGATATTGGATAGCAATCATACCATAGCTACAGGGCTCTTGAACTGGCGCCTCAGCCATGAAAAGGATCCTTTTGCGCAGCAGTGCTGCTCTGTACAGAGGAAATAGGAGAGGACCGAAGGAATCTAGAAAATTAGGGAGCGAGGAAGCTGGGTGGAAGGGCGTCAGGGCCGGCCTGGGCGTTTCCAACACGATTGCATCACTGAAAGCGCGGGTTCGATGGACGGCATCTCTTAGATCACCATGGGCCCGCAGCCGGAGACTGAGAGGAGACTCAATGGGGGAATCGGGTGGCATAGCGGAAGAATCACTTTCACAAATCTCGTAATTATCCCAGTACTCCGTTAAAGGTTGCGTATTGGACATATCCTCGGCATAGTTTCTGGAAGCGATCACGAAAGCGTCAACGGCCGGATCAAAAGGACAGCGCATGGGATTCCAACTTACGCCGCTAGTTCTTTGAGCTTGGGAGCATGTCGCCAGCTTTTCCCCAATCTTCCGGAGCTTAATGGGACGAGAACCCCGATAGCAAACATCTTTGCATTTCGCTCCGCTTCCTCAGCCGGCCAATTGACAAACGCGCTGATGCCAGCATATTGCTCGTGGACGAAGTATCTGGCAAGACCGAGCTATTAGCAAGCGTTCATGACCGGACGAAGCCGTAGTATACGTACACCAGATCTTCTGAGACATTGTGCAGACCAGATGGAAGCGACTTGTACTCCACAGCTCCTTCAACTTCAACTATACGATCGGCTGGGTTAGGCGACGCTATCACGGGGAGGACCGTTGAAGCAGCAGGGTGCTACTTACCCCCGGGAACAGTACGCTTCCACGATATCACGTATCTATATTCCGGAAGAGCCGTCAGTAAGCAGAATAGGTTGCGTGGGTTGCTGTTAAAACAGACTTGGAATCCCTCACCCGGCCTTGATATCGAAACGAATGACGAAGAGGGCCGCGATGCCAGGCGGCGACTCGACGACCGTAGCGGGGCGGGGCACGTCAAGCCCCAGGGGCTTGCGTCTAAAAGGACCAGGTGCCATTGCCGGAGAGCGCGTAATCAGCGAAGGTGACCGACCCCATGGAATGAGTGAGAGGAGCAGAATCACGGAGATGGCGACATCGGACGATACAAGCTGGCGTCGGTCAAACAGTTAGCGGACCTTTGGGGGGGAAGAGTTGCGGAGAAGCTGTCGTTGCCTGAGGACGTCAATCCGCTAGCTCCATCAGGTTAGTCCCGTGCGGATCAGCTGAATGAGTTGCAATTGCTATTCAACAGCTGCTTCTTCATGATATCCAGTTGTTCACAGAAAGAGAGCAAAAGGAGACGGTTTGAAAAGAAATTCAGCCAGGGGTACTCGCTTGAGAACATTGGCTCCCCAGTCCAGTCGCCTGGGTAGGTCTGGTTATTTACTGTACTCTCTGTACCGAATTGGGAAAAACCAATTGAGCATCCCACTATACTTTACTCCGACCGACTACTGGAGCCATACATAAGTGAGAGACCTCTTCCTGTTCGAGCCTCTGTCAATTCCAACCATCGATCGCTCAATCGAAGGACTCAACACAATGACTACCATGGACTCCAAAGCTCTACCCCATCCCTACTACCCCCTCAATGCTCAAATCCATGGTTATGCTCCGAACGAGGCTTCCTTACTCAGTATTCTCAGTACTGCTAGCGTGGGCGCGGCAGCTTTACTGGGAATCATTTTCACCCTGACCAGTAGACTCCGACCAACGCTAAAGAATGCCGACCGTCTTGCTATTCTGTGGTTTGCCCTCTGTAAGTCGGACTCCTTAGTTACGTACCGCTCCAACAGCGAGACAACAATTCTCGATGCTAATTGCAGTGTGAACTCCCAGCGGGTACGATTCACTGCTTCTTCGAGGGTTATTTTATGATCAACCATGCTCGTATGGCATCCGCGCAGGACTTTTTCGGTCAGCTATGGAAGGAATATGCCCTGTCGGATTCGCGATACATGACCTCAGATACCCTTGTCTTATGTATGGAGACTATCACGGTCGTAGGTGCACCCGTGGCTGCAGGGCTCCTTAGCTCCGTCTGCGACACCGTTGCTAAAATACTGGAATAGCTTCTTTGGGGCCCGCTCTGTTATCTGGTCGCATACTTGACCCTTTCTCGGCATCCTCTGCGCCATCCATTGCAGATCATCGTGTGCATGAGCCACCTCTATGGCGATGCTCTGTACTATGCGACCAGCTTGTTCGATCACTACGTTCATGACCGACCGTACTGCCGCCCGGAGCCTTACTACTTTTGGGTGTACTATTTCCTCATGAATTTCATCTGGATTGTGGTTCCATTCTGTACGTTCCAGTCTCACGGCTCCCTTGCCTGTTTACCACTCGTTTAGAGCTGACGATGGACCTAGACTATCTCTACCGGAGTATCCGGACAATAACAGAGGCTCTTAGAGCCGTGGAATATACTTCCAAACAGCGCAAGGACCGATAGAGAGACGTACAGTGAGAGATGATGTCACCTGTGTTATAAACGGAACAGCATCTAGATGAGGGGTAGTGCTGGCTAACGCAGACCAAGGGCCTTGACCTTTCCCTGACCATGCATGCGTTTAATCTCAGAGGGCATTCCCGCATGAGATGATCTTCGCTTCGGCCGGAACAGCCCTCTCTTGTCGAGTCTCCAATCAACAGCACCCGAGTGGGAAAAAGCAATCCGCATAGCCCAGTGCATGACAACGCACTCGAATTATCAATAAACCAGGTAGAATACTTTTCCCTTTTTAGCCCACTCTGTGACGCGTAGCCCCCGGTGGATCGGTTTAGGCATTCCTGCTCTTCCGGCAAACAGAAGGTATAGCTCCGAAAAACACGTTAATTACACCGGAATGATCGTCTTACGGCTACTGTTCCGCGGTGCAATATGACTGCCCTATTTATCGAATTTCAAACGGAAAGAGATGAGAAACTTTCAAACGACCACGACATTGGGCGGCCAGGGTGGTGACAGGGTGCGAGGCATGGGATGCAGAGGCCGCAAAGTCAGGTGGGGATTGAGG